GTAAATCGTATACAGTCATTTTGAAAGTGTTGATCCAGTAATAAATTAATGAATATTTAAATAGTAGACATTTTAAAATGGAAACTTTACTTTCTTTCAATAAAGTATTACTCAGTTATAGAAAAAAAGCTTAAATTATATTTTACCACAATTACTTTATTTTCATCTCTTCTAACGCCTACAATAACATTGCTGGATTGGTTTTAAAATCCTGATACTAAAATCCTGGGTTTCCTAATCCACTTAATGTAACCCCAATCCCAGCAGATGAAATTAGATGCCATATAATGAATACAGAGGGTTACGAGTGACGTAATCCTCAGAAATACAGGAAAAGCTCAAATCTTTTCTACCTTACTGAATCAGCATGAATACTTCTGTACTAATACCTAGCCGTTAGCAATCAAATACCCACCCTACAACAATATCCTTATTTTATTCATTTGATTTTCTGCAAAGAACAAAACAAAACCCAACTATACCTATGCTTGGCAAAAAAATGTCAAGCTATTTTTCTCCTTGAAAGGCCTGAAACCCAAGAGTAGGAAGGCATCGTGAGCAGAAGATTCTGCCAAGGGGAAAGGGATCACAGGCTCCATCCACCGTGCTGTGATGCTTTTTCTTGTGGTCTCAGTACAATTTAATTCTGACTTTGCTAGTGTATATATTGGACATTGTGAGATTGCAGAAGCCCAGAATTGCTTTCAAACTAATACAAAGGCTTCATGTGGAAAGGCTCTTGATTTGGTATTTCTGTACCCTTTCATTTGAATTATTGCACTGTGTTGTATGTGGAATTATGGGTACAGATAGTTCAAAAAGTTCAGTTAATCCAAAGGAGAAGGTATTTCAAGGAGCCTATCCTCTTATGTATCTGCCTGGTTTTTCTGTCTTCTTTAGAGTTATTTTTCTACATGGACCACTAAAGGGAGGGCTACTGTACAAGTTGTGTGGCTTTCTTTTGGAATCATCTCCAATAACCATGCTAATGTATTTTCCATATCAGGAAAGCTATTTTTTCCTTCAGGGATTTCTGAATGTTTCAGCTTAATTTTAAGTACCTAGCCTGTACCAGGATAGTTGGATTTATATTTCCTGGCTAATGTATTTTTTGTGTGTCATTATTTTTCAAGCGGGTTAATGTTAGAAAATTCAAGTGTTTTATGTAATGTTGTAATTTGGATGGAAACTTTGGTCAGGGAATTTGCCAGAAATATAAATACTGTTTCCATCTCACCTATTTTTGTTATGTTGTCACACTTAGAAAATTGGAGATGACTGTATATGTCTTTTTAGCAATAATTTAGCAAAAATTATCACTCCCTGTTAATATTCTCCAGTCAAAGAATACAATTGGCAGCCAGGGTTTTTACATACTGTATCATTATTGCAATTAACATTAAGTTGGCTCTTAACAATTCATTCAGTGCTATAGTACCAAAACTGGAGATCAGATTTCTAGCGAATAACCAACAGATAAAAGTTCAGGAATTGTTGCTGTTGTTAATTGCGAAGTCATGTCCGACCCATCGCGACCCCATGGACAACATTCCTCCAGGTCTTCCTGTCCTCTACCATCTTCTGGAGTCCATTTAAGCTCACGCCTACTGCTTCAGTGACTCCATCCAGCCACCTCATTCTCTGTCGTCCCTTTCTTCTATTGCTCTCAATCTTTCCCAGCATTAGGCTCTTCTCCAGTGAGTCCTTCCTTCTCATTAGGTGGCCAAAGTATTTGAGTTTCAACTTCAGGATCTGGCCTTCTAAAGAGCAGTCGGGGTTGATCTCTTCTAGGACTGACTGGTTTGAACGCCTTGCAGTCCAAGGGACTCGCCGGAGTCTTCTCCAGCACCATGGTTCAGAGGCCTCAATTCTTTGGCGCTCAGCCTTTCTTATGGTCCAACTTTCACATCCATACATTGCAACTGGGAAAACCATGGCCTTGACTAAATGCACTTTTGTTGGCAGGGTGATGTCTCTGCTTTTTAGTATGCTGTCTAGATTTGCCAGATAACAGATAAAAGTTCAGGAATACCAAACTCCTAAGCCAAGCTTTGGATATTATATGGTGCTTCCTGAGAAGTCTTTGCCTTTAAAGGAAAATTAAGCAAAACTGACTTACTAATAATTTACCTTTGTTATTGTACACCATTACCTCTTGTCTGCAATGTAGATATGTTTATCACAATTCACCTTTCCATTTAAATACCTGATTTTTTTATCAATAGATTTAGTAGAGGCTAAATCTTTGTCTTCCTATATATGTCTTAAGAGCTATTAAAGGAAAAGCATGTTAATTCTGAAACCTGAACCATGCAAGTATGGGGAATGAAGCAGATGGAAAGAAGTGGGGCACCTTTCTCCTCCTCCTTTTACTATAGCAACGGATTTCAAATAATAGCTGCCCAATACCAGTAGCTTGTTAAATTCAGAGAAACCCAAGTAAAAGGCAGTGATTCAATTAGCACCTCAGTGGTAGCACTACCCCCTTCTACTTCCCACCAGGATGGGATAATTAAGACATTTCCTTATAGCCATATTGCCCTGAGAGAGTTGTCATTTAAATGGGCAGCTGCATTTGAAAGTCTCTGTGATGTTCCACCTGAGACAGCCAATACTCCAATCTTCTCTCATTGCATTGACAAAATGGTGATCAAACAGAAGTAAAGGCAGCTGGGAGGACTTGGTAAAATTGCTGATGAGGATAAGAAAGGGACAAAAAGGATTGGAGAGTTGTTGTACAAAACTATAAACCCAATTTCCCTAAGTGTTTTGTAAGCTACAAGACACTCTGGGTTAATAAACCAATATAGAAATGTATATTGAGGAAGTTATAGAACAATATAAGAAAAAAAGATTAAAGCTTACTTTCTAGGCTGCACTTATATACTATCATATAACATGTTTGGTTTTGTTCTCATAATAATCAGGGCAGCATAGAATAGCAATTATTGCCCAAAACCAGCTTCTAAATTACTGATTTATTGCTAAAGCCTATTCACAGGAATCTTCTCATAGCAATCAAGAGAGGTTAGATTTCATTCTTTTGTGGCTAGATAAGGATTCTAATTGCTGCCTCATTTAATTCCTCCCCCTAGCTCTGCCGTCTCTATCCTACAACTATAAAGGCATCAAATAAACACTTAATATATAAAAGTCCAAGCAAATAGAATGCCTTTAAAATGAGTCAGTTCACATAACATTTGGCCTAGCAAGTTAAATGCTAACTAGAACAATTGCATTTTGACCAAATAGCAAGATTATGAGAGAGAAAGTTGAATAAATCTCTTTAGAAATGGAATAACTATAGTTTGTCTGTGGCTATGTATCTTCCTGGGCTCCAAGATCACCGCAGATAGGGACTGCAGCCAAGAAATTAAAAGACGCTTGCTCCTGGGGAGGAAAGCTATGGCAAATCTAGACAGCATACTAAAAAGCAGAGACATCATCCTGCCAATAAAAGTACATATAGTCAAAGCCATGGTTTTCCCAGTTGCAATATATGGATGTGGAAGTTGGACTATAAGAAAGGCTGAGCGCCAGAGAATTGAGGCCTTTGAACTATGGTGCTGGAGAAGACTCCTGCGAGTCCCCTGGACTGCAAGGCGATCAAACCGGTCAGTCCTAGAGGAGATCAACCCTGACTGCTCTTTAGAAGGCCAGATCCTGAAATTGAAATTCAAGTACTTTGGCCACCTAATGAGAAGGAAGGACTCACTGGAGAAGAACCTAATGCTGGGAAAGATTGAGGGCAATAGAAGAAGGGGACGACAGAGAATGAGGTGGCTGGATGGAATCACTGAAGCAGTAGGCGTGAGCTTAAATGAACTCCAGAAGATGGTACAGGACAGGAAGGCCTGGAGGAACGTTGTCCATGGGGTCGCGATGGGTCGGACACGACTTCGCAACTAACAACAACATGTGTTAGCTACCTGATAAGAAGGAAGAAAGGCAAATTAATTTCTTTAAGGGATGGGCCAAAAGTTTATAACTGCCAAAGACAATTGTTGATTGTTTACTGTGCATAATGAAGAATCTCACAAATATTATATTAACTGCCAGTGTGTTTCCAGATTAAATCAAAGGAGGAGCTCACTTTTTAAAAACCCTTTACAGTATAGGCTGGACCCCACACATCTTCAGGTTCTTCTTCAGGAGGCTCTGAAGTAGTAGCAGATTGCCATGATCATACTCTATTCCAGATGGTTTAGTATCAGCAAAATAGGATCATTTTGGATCCCTTGAAGGCATTGACATTTATTTATTTATAAAATTTATAGACCACCCATCTTACCTCAAGGTAAACTTGAATGCTTTTCCTGATGTTTTGTATCTTTCTGTAGAGGTCACAAGGTATATTATAAAGCACATGTTGCTAGTTCTACTGTTCTAGTCATATCTTCCTCCTCGTTATTTTTCTTGTTACTATGGAATTTATATGCCACTCTTCAGGACATCTTCTCTGAGCAGCTAAGAATTATAATATGAAATTAGGATAGCAGAAATACAATTAGCACTGCTGACTTGTAATTTCCAACAGAGCGAGATAATTAGAACAATTTGCCCTTCAGCTGAGCTGTGAAACAAATAACTCATAAGTAACCTTAAATCACTCATAAATATGTATGCTGAACCCAATAATAAGATATTTCTATCGTGTGTAGGAAAAAATCATGTTGGAGAGAAAATGATTCAATTATATAAGAGGCTTAAAAACACCTCCAGTCTGCAAGAATTAGGGACAAAATAAGTGTGGCTTTTATCATAAGATTCTTCGGAATTAAAAGAAGTATTATAATTAAAAAAGTTACTTTTAATCATGTAATGTCACATGTGTACTGATTTTACCTTTGAAGTTTGATACAGTTTTCAGTGGCATTAGCTGCTTTGGTTCTTGAAAAAAATGGGTTAAGAATATTTAAACATGTCAACCAGCATTGCATATGGTATTCCAAATTACTTAGAGTAAAAAAGCCTTTATATATGTTTTGTCTGCTTTTCAGACTTGCACTTAGCAGCCGAATTAGGGAAGACACTTCTGGAGCGCAACAAGGAACTGGAAGATTCTCTGCAGCAAATGTACACCACTAATGAGGAACAAGTGCAAGAGATAGAGGTACTGTCAACAGAGACTGGGAAAGCGCAAGCAAATGTATAACTCAAATAACCCATTTATGTACATTAGTACATAAGTGTACATTAGTGTACATTAAGCATTGCTAAAAATATATGTAAATATTTGGGTAGGATTTAATTTAAGACAGTCAAATTAGCAGCATCCACAAAGATGTATGATTAGGGAGAGGGTGAGAAGCACACATGAAAGTTGCTGAAGCAAAGCTGGATTAAGCCCCGGAAGAACGGAGCAGAAGAGGTCCGTGACAAAGTCTTTTGTCACTTGAGATGTGTTTGTTTTGTCACTATCCAGCGAAGCCCTCTGTCCCCCAGCTCATACACTTTCATCCTGGGCAGAAACTTTAATATGGGTTGCTTTGAGCTAGTACAGGTTCTCTATTTTTCTTTTTTTACCCAACAAAACGGAATTGTGTAAAGTGACGCTTGCTTCTCAACCTCAGCAACTTTAAGATGTGCTGGCTGGAGAATTCTAGGCGATGAACTCCATACATCTTAAGATTACTGAGGTTGAGAAACGCTGATGAAAGGAGACTCATAACTCTCTCTGTGGGATAATTCTCGATAAACAGGATAATTTGATGTGGGAAAAACCAATAAGAGAAAGATTGTGTTGAAAGTGATCAGCCCTGATTGGAGAAACAGAAGTGGGGGGGAAGTCCCTCTTGTGTCTGTCTGGGAGAGGAAATTGGGAAGCATCTCAGAATGTTTCTGATTGCTTCATCATAAGCCCCTCTGCCCTTTCTAGTCTCGTGATGCAGAGTACTTTTTTTAAAAGGGTGGAAAGAATTCCATAAGGCATTTTCTGCTGCTTTAAAGGGATTTAAATTGGTGTGTCTTGTTTGATTATCTGTATGAGTGTTCATAAATGTATTTTTAAATTATATCTGTATAAAATGTAAGAGGCAGAGTAGCGAGGCTTTCAAGATTGAGGTCAGCCCTTTGAAGTAGTTCAGTTCAGGAAACAGATTCTCCTCAAGAAAGATTGAAGATCGATTTTGTGAAGAAAACCTATAACACAAGAATCCTGACTGCATTTTCCCTTCCCTCCATCTTATACCCCAGGGAGGGAGTTAAAGCAGAGTCCATTTGAGTTACTTTCTGATATTTTCTTCATTTCTTGGGCTTAAAACATGTTTTTGTAACTGTCGCCAACATAGTTTCTGCTAAGTCATCTCTCCACAGATTGTACTTTTTGTGTGAAAGAAAAGATTATATTATTTTTTTAAGATAGATTATCCCATTTGCTCATTTTTATAATTGCCTAGGCTATCCTAAAATTGATGCTTGATTAGAGACACATTTTTAGACATTTAAAAAGTTGCAATTGATTTGCCTTCCGTTTAATTATGCTATTCTTAAAGAGATTGGATTGGTTCGGCTGCACTTCTTTTTGTTTTTCTTTATAGTATTTGACAAAACAGCTGGAAATGTTGCGGCATATGAATGAACAGCATGCTAAAGTTTATGAACAGCTGGACTTAACAGCACGGGATCTAGAATTGGCCAACCAGAAGCTTGTGCTAGAGAGTAAGGCATCCCAGCAGAAGATACAATGGTAATCATTTGTCTGGTGGGTCTGTTTGGTAGATTTAAGATTTTTTTGCTATCCTCAAAGGATCAGATTTTTTCATTCATAGTCATGGACAGGAAAATACAACCCCTCTTGCCAGAGTTAATCATAAAGTCATTTTTTTTTAAGTCTACTGACAACCAAATGAGAAAATTAATATTAATCTATTGACACCTTTACACAGACATTGGCAATATCCCTCTTACCACTGCAGCATGTCTTGCTATGTTCCCTGAATTTGCATATATTTGCTAGTCAATCGGGGAAAATGCAAAAATGGCAGTCAGTCAATACCCTTCCCCTGAATTTACCATTTCTTCCCTGCATTTGCTTGGCGGTGGGGTGGGGATGTTAAAATGCCTTGGGTTCAAGTGAGAAGTGTGTCTCTAAGGAGTGGGTAAGTGGAATGAAGTGGGGGTTCCCACGATTCTCCAGAGCAGTTACCTTGCAGTTTTCGCTATAGTGACAGCTGAACAAAGGTAATTTATTCAGCTCACAAAGACTTTGAAAAGTCCCACCATACCGTGGGGCCCAGGGATATCATGTTTGTCTCAGGTATGTCAAAAATTGAAAGGTAGAGATTGCATTGCTGGCAGTTATCTAATAGTTGAAAGAGTATTCAGATCTGAGTGAGGGGTTTTGTTTTCCAATCTTTAGAAAGATTTAACTATTGTATTTTGCAGCTTCTAAATGATAAAAACTGCTGATTTCAGAACTAATAGGAAATTTTGTACTCATATTCCCTCCTGAAAACAACGTATGCAAGGGTAGCATTTGCCACTAACTGTAGTGACAGAGAGATACGTAGACATGTTCTCTTTTGAGAACACCTGTTACAAATAAAAATATAGTTAGCCAGCTTCCCTACGAGGAAAGAATTATATTAGATGGGCATGTGAATGGATGACTTCTCTCTTACCCCATATGTTGTTTTGGACATATCATTGCCCCAGTGTTATTGTACATTCTGTTTCCTGAAGGGTAGTTTAAAAGTGTTTCCGAGTGAAAAATTCTGACACATAATTCCCACTGGAAAACACTATTGACTGAGCCCTCCAGTCTATACCATCTCATATTTCCAGGGTAGGATTTGTAGGATGGAAAAAGCAAACGTTTGAAAATGTGTTGAAATGGAGAAGGGATGTGTGAGAAGGTTCAGTTCATAACATAATAGCAAATTGGATGATTTAGCATTTCTGAAAAGAATAGGCAGAGAGAAACATAGTTATTCTTTGATTTATGCTTCTTTAAATATTTGGGGAAAGCATACATAATTAATATTGAGGGAGAAAAACAGAGAAAAGTTGACAGCACAGTCAGCTAGTTCTAATAGGAGCTTACCTCCCTAAGAATGTAATTGCAATTTACAGGCCAGAATTGCTGAAGTGTAAAATTTTAGTTGAAGGGCACATATACATATTCTCCAGAGATGGTGCTGCAGATCATTATAGCTTGGAGGAAAGCATAGGTATACGAGTAGTATAACCATTTCTTCATGTTGTGTCTGTATTTTGTTCTATACAATTTAGTGCTCAGCTTTTTTGTTTCATTTCTCCTCCATCAATCCTAAATTTATTTGCAGCCTGACAGAAACTATTGAAGGACTGCAAAATCAAGTTGACGAGCTACAAAAACAAGTAGAAGAACTGCAGAGCTTAGACCAGCTGCGTGTCCGCCGGGAAAAAAGAGAAAGGCGTCGAACGATCCACACATTTCCTTGTCTCAAGGAACTATGCTCAAGTCCTAGGTATTTTGGACAGGAGAAATAGTACTTCATTTTTGTTAAATATCTTTGCTTGGCCAACTGTTAATTTATAGAGGAAGCAGATGATACAACAGTGTATCTTAACTTTGTGTGGACCTTTACATCTGTCTTCTTCCTTCCCAACTGTTTGCTCAATAATTGTGGAAATAGTTGCTTCCCAGTTTTGGAGCCATTCACAGTATTCTCAAATCTCCATTTGTTATATTAGAAATCAAGGCATCATTTAACTGAATCAAGGCTTGGGATTTTCTGCATTATTCTGAAAGCTCTAGTTTGTTTTTTAAAGACTTATTCAATAATGAATTGAAATATATTTTTTTAAATTTGACAATTTGTTTTAATTCCTAGGCTGTAAATGCTCACGTAGCAGAAAACTGATGCAGGAAAAACATATTTAAAAAGTGGGCTTAACAATTATTAAACTTCCTGTAGTGCCAATGAGAGGTTCTCATTAGGGTTGTATATAGAAATCTCTTAAGGCAACTGAACTTCGGTTTGAGATAAAGTGAAGCTGAAGTTCATTTCTTTCTCCGAAACAAACAATTAGATTGGCATTTGAAATGAAAACAAGTGCACTTGCCATGTGCTGGGGCAGCAATGCAGAACAAAGACTTTAGATTAGTTTATGTAATATCTCCCTAATTTATGCAAATAGAAGAGGCTGTTTTGAAATAGGCTACACTGTGTTCCAGTGATTGTTTCATCTGATGCCAGCAGTGTCAAATGGATGGAAACAATTACTTCAAGAAGTTAACTCTCCTCTGTATCAGTTTAAAGCAGGGATGTCAAACTGCCAGCCCGCTGGCCGGACGTGTTACGAGGAAACTGCGCCCACCCCATTGCCGGCAATGGGGGAAAAGCTCCATTACGTCGCGCGGCGTCACATGACATCACGTGATATCGCAAGTTTGACATGTCTGGTTTAAAGCACATCTCACCATTAGCTTAGTATTAGTTTTAGTGTACATTACACATTCAGAGCACTGACTGAGTTCCTCTCACACTTGAAACTCCTCCATTTGACACAGAATTACAGAATAATAAAAATATACACATTTCTACACGCTTTATTTCATTACCAGCTGAAGGTCAGAGATCTCATTCATCGTCAACACTAATCGCAATTCAGTCACCTTTGAAAGATTTCTTTGGTGTCCCATCTGGTTCTAGCAGAAACAGTCAAAAAATCAATGAGCCAATCAGTAAACATTATTCATGCAGTTCTGACAAACATAATTACTGTTGTCTCTAGATTCTAAAATAATTCTAGGCAAAATCTTTTAAGTATCCATGTAAAAATATCCTTATCACACCTTTGATATGTTTTATCCAAGGTGTCCTAAGGCTATGTATAACATTATAACATTTGCATTTTAAAGATAACTGATTTAAAACAATTAAGGGGGATTTCACTGCCCTCTTTCTAGTCCATATATGAATGAGGCATGGGGCAGTCTGGTATTGCTCACTCCCTTCCCATCCACAAGCTTGTTTATTAGGAGTCAAGGAAGAATATATGCTGAATTAAGCCAGATACGATTTTCTCAGCACTTCTTTTATATCCATCCTCCCACTAACTCTGGACAGATTCAAAGGCACCTGAAGACAGAATTTCAAAGGGGAATTGGCCAGTCCCCGTGGTTATACTTATTTATTTTGTGTCTCTCCATTGTCAAATCAGTATACCAGTTTTTTGCGGGGTTGGACAGCACATCCGAAAATCAAAACAAGGTTCAAGGAGTATTGCCAGAATTGCTCTGTTAGATCTGATGTAAGTGATATAGTTAAATATTGTACAGTATCCAGGACACACAAGGAACGTAGTGTCCTTTTGGTTATTGATGATTGAAATAATTATTCTTCAAATTCTGCTTATTCTTTATCCAATTCTTTATGGAACAAAGCTTAAATCCATGTCACATTCCTTCCTATTTAACTCCTCCTTTCTCATCTTTTTCAACGCAGTTGAAATTTATACTCTAAAACGAAATAATCTGTAGAGAGCACTATATAAAGGAAAAGCAAGTTAACATCATGGGGTATATTCCTGTAGCCTGTTACCAAATGTACTATATTAATTTCCTTTAGGAATTAAATTAAATTAAACTTTACCTGATATTAACTGAATCCTGGTTCAAGTTTAAATTTCAGAGTGTTTCCACGCATTAGAGTCTTATTAAAAAGTCACAGTGTACTATTCTGTCTTTTGTTCATTATCCAATTCTTCTCAAGATTTAAAAATGCTACAAGAATTATTGGTATATGGTATAGGTGTTGGACTAGGATCATGGGGATCCACATTCAAGTCCACCTTTAGCCATGGAAAATTTGAGCCAGTCCCTCTTTCCTCAATCCTACCTATCCCACCAGTGTTGGTTGAGGGAGCAAAATTAAAGGAGATCCTTGTATTTGAACGCCTGCAGAAAAGTCAGACATAAATTTAACAGATAAATAAATCTGTAAAAATCTGGACTCTTGGTCTGAAATTTCATGAATTGCTCAGTAAGCATCCAAGCTGTATGAAACTTAGGGTAATGGGGAAAATGAATAAGGTTCTTTTATGTCTCCATTTTACTACTGTATTGATAATGATCCACCTGCCGGTAAGGATCGGTAGTTTCATTATAATCACAATGGAATAGTAGCTCTTATTACTATAGAAATACACTGTATTGAGAAGTACAGGGTCTCAGTCACTTCAGGGTATAGCACAATTCTGTTTTAACACTAGGGGTTCTAGGCCAGGGCTTTTCAACCTTTTCACCCATTGTACTACTTTTAGGATATGGCAGTATCCAGGTACCACCAGTCGCTTAGCAAGGTGTCAAAAACTTGATGACCAAAAAAAAAAAAGGAAAAAAGTGATAAAGTACAGGTAGTCCTCGACTTACAACAGTTCACTTAGTGCCTGTTCGAAGTTACAATGGCACTGAAAAATGCCCCCCCAAGCCACAGCCGAGCAAGACGTCTGCCTGCCCACCCAGCGGCGCTCTTCCTCCTGTCCGAGGTTTTCATTGTTGTGAGCATTTCTGTTGAGGATTGGCAGCAGGGGTGGGGTGGGGTGTGTGTGGTTTTTATTCCGTCTGCTGGGTGGTTGCAGCAGGTTTTGGTCACTTCACATGACCCTGGGACACTGTGACCGTCATAAATATGAATCAGTTGCCAAGCATCTGAATGTAAATCACAAGACCCTGGAGAGGCTGCAACATTCCAGTTGATCGGCGCTTCTTCTGGGCTCAGCAGAAGCACCAGGATCAGCACCGAGCTCCAGCTGGAGCCTGGCGCTGATCCTGGCGCTTCCACTGAGCCCTGACAGCCCCGAAGAAGCGCCGATCAGCTGGAAAGCGGCACTGATCCTGGCGCATCCGCTGAGCCCTGCAGCTCCAGCCATCTCTCGCTCAGGCTTGTGCAGTGCTGCCACCGGTTCAGCTCATTCCCCTCCCCCGCTACCACTTTTCTAGGATGGTCGTGTACCACCTGCCAGGTGCCAATGTACCACAGGTAGTACCCATACCACTGGTTGAAAAGCCCTGTTCTAGGCAACCCAATTGGAAGAAAGGTGTAGTTTTATAGAAGTAATTTCGTAGTGTTTCACTCTTCCTGTGCAAGTTAAAACTGGTGTTTGAATAAGAAAGACATAAGATTTTAGATATCAGCTGCTGTCAGGACTCATTTGTATGACTTCAGAAAGAATATTAATCCCACCCACTACCATCATCTCAAATGAGAATACTGGCATTCAACATAGAAGCAGTCTCAGTATCTACCGTATATACTGTAAACAGTCCTTATGACCACAATTAGGAACAGAATTTTTATTGCTAATCAAGGTGATTATTAAGTGAGTCATGTCTGATTTTATGTCCTTTTTTGCCATGCTTGTTAAGCAAATCACTGCAGTTGTTAAATGAATCCAGCTTTCTCCATTGACTTTGCTTGTTGCAAGCCAGCTGGGAAGGGCACAAATGATGATCACATGACCCTAGGATGCTGCAACCATCATAAATATATGCTGGTTGCCAAGCACTCAAATTTTGATTACAGACCCTTGGGATGCTACGATGGTTGTAAATGCAAGGGCCAGCGTAAGTCATTTTTTTTCCCAATGCTGTTCTAACTTCAAATGGTCGCTAAACAAATGGTTCTGAGTCAAGGACTATCTGTATACAGATTTACTTTTTGAATCTTGGATATATGATAAACAGAATTTTGGTAAGATTATATATTTGAATATCCTTTGTGAAAAATATATAACTATATATAGAAAACTAGTAGTTCAAAGGTACATACATCTATTGCATTGTGTTATGAAATATGCCTATCCTTAAGGCCAACAGAGTTATCCTATGTGACCATCCAGAAGTGTCCCACTAGACACTTCACAAGAATGATAATGCTATCTAACTATGGATCCTGTGTTAATTTGCTAACTATATTATCCTTTTAATATTAGATATGAGGATGCATTCCAAATCCACAGCTCTTCAATGGAGTTCAGCCAGATGCCCTTGGAACGAGAGAATGAGCGACTGCAAGCAATGGTAAATTCTCTCCGGTCCCAAGTTAATCAGGAGAAGCAGCGAAAAGAGAGGGTGGAGAGAGAGTATACATCAGTCATCCAGGAGTACTCAGATCTTGAGCAACGAGTTTGTGAGATGGAAAGCTGCAAACTGCGCATTAAAGAATTGGAAACTGAATTATTGGAACTCCAGCAGATGAAACAAGTCAAGAAGTATCTCCTCAGTAGAGAGGATAACCTGTCAGAAACACTTCTGGAGCCATTAAACAATGCTCCTGAAGCCGACTACATAGACCTTTCTGAGGAAGATGGGAGGAAAAATCATGAATCCTCCATGGCAGCTTCTCCGAACCATCCTGTCCGGAAAAGCTGTAGCGACACAGCCCTTAATGCCATTGTAACCAAGGATGCTGTGAGTCGCCATGAAGGTAATTATACACTCCATGCCAACAATGTACGGAAAAGGGGAATGTCAATCCTGAGGGAAGTGGATGAGCAATACCACGCCCTGCTGGAAAAGTATGAGGAGCTTCTCAGCAAGTGCCGTCAGCATAAGGACAGCGTACGCCATGCCGGTGTACAAACCTCTCGGCCCATCTCCCGTGACAGCTCCTTTAGAGACTTCCGGGGAGAGAATTATGAGCTGGAAGAGCTTAAAACAATGGAGAAGAGTCTTAGTAAACATGTGGAAGCTGTAGACAAACGGCTAGAGCAGAGTCAGCCAGAATATAAAGCTCTGTTTAAGGAAATCTTCTCTCGAATCCAGAAGACAAAAGCAGATATCAATGCCACCAAGGTGAAAAAGAAGAGTAGCAAGTGAATCTTCCCTATTCACCTGCACCTTCAGCCTCATATTCTTTTCAGTCCAGGAAAAATTGCCTAGCTTTCTGCCTTTGTGCTCTGGAAGCTTCTTATATTGATATCTTGCACAGAAAGGGAGCCTGTTGGAGTGCCTGAAAAACAGCAAGAATCCAAGTCACATTCTTGAAGTTGGTACTCCAAGCTGTCCGGCTCCCTGAATCTGCTGCAAAATCTATATGTTGTAGTTGTAGTTGGTATCAAAGATTTTATGAGGATTTCTTCACATCATGCAGCAGCCAGAATGCCTAAATAGGAAATCGGGCCAACTAACCACAGCTTCACTTGTTGCCACAGCCACTGTTCACTTTTCTGCATGGAACATAGGATCAAGATTAGATTCCTGACAATGACTTGGAGTGTCCAAAATATAATTAAAAAAAAATAGTTTCCAAAAGCAACTCATGAAATGCAACCTTTTCTCTATACTGTAGTTCCATTTTGTTTCTTTCCATAAAGAACGGAATCAGACCCAGCATCAGTAAGACTTTTAAATGGACTTCTCCCTTTTCTGAAGGGGAATGTGTTCTTCCTGTTTAAGCCATTATTTTATTGGTCAAATTTTTCAATATTTACAATGCAAGTTCATTGCAACTGGAAAAACTTGAAGAGAAATGTCAGATTGATTAATGTCTTCATCAGGCATACCTAATTGTCCTGATCATCTAACATGTAGAACCAAGTAAACATAGGATGTATATTTCCTCCAGTATTTATTTCAGTAAGTTGTCATCATTCTGGGATTTTCCAGAAGCCAAACAAATAAGTGCTATTACTGACTTGGGGAGAGAGCTCCATCTTTAGTTAATGTTGGTTTTTGAAGCCCGGTTGCTCAAAGGATTACCTTTATTATCTTCTGTAACCTGCTCCTAAGATATAATTTGCATGCCTTGCAAAACCTGAATAGGGGTGATTTATACATCACATATTTATACACAAAGCTTTCTCTCTCCAGTCTCAGGAATCATCACTATCCATTTCATTGAAATTAAATATTGGGCTGTTTTAGATACACCATAATAAATGATAGGAATTCCTGCACATAATGCTTACCAGTATTACATTTCAATAATGTTTAGGATACACATACATACGATTATTGACTTAGCAAGCAGTACAATACTTGAAAAAATGTTGGGTCCTTTTGGATATATCTGAATAAAATCCAAAGTCTTCGTTGTTTCTTTGGAATTATGATAACATAAAATGATATTTTAATGTGCTATTATTATGTTCAGCATATTACCTTCTTGTTCTTTAAACACTGTTGTGTGATTTTTCATACCATAATCCTCAGACAATATTCTTTAGTGGTCAATATTGCCAAGTTTCATCACGGAGATGGAGGCTTACAGATTTTTCTAATTATTTGTGCCTCTTGTCATATATTACATTTCATCATGGTAGATCTGTCTAGTTTTTATATCCAATTTCATGAAAACAGTAAATAAAAGTTTAAGAAGGTAGTTGTGTGGGAAGTCAACTGTGAAGTCAAAGAGAGTGAGCATTTTCATTCTTGTGTCACCAGATTGTCATTTCATTTGCTATATTCTTGCCATGAAAAACTTTTGAGTCCTTGTGCTTAGCCAAATGAAGTCACTTTTGAAATATGTGGAAGTTTTAAGTTAGCCTATCCAGGGCTATTCTTTTGAATTGGTTCTTCTATTAAATGTTCAAATCTCTTCTGTACCCTGGATGTGGTCCAAACGAGCCATACCCATGATTGTGGCTACCACTTTGGTAACCATATATAAACCTTCATGCCTTACAGTAAAAAATCAGTAATCTGTAAAAATAAAGGAAGTTGGTTCTCTCAAAACATTTACTTTGATCTGTCGCCATCATAGCTGTGGCATTTTAATTTTCTGTTACTACCTTTTTACTAAAGGACTTCTGAATTTATATTTGTTCTAAAAAATAATCTGTTTGTTGCATCAGTATTTCGGGTGGGAAAGGGCCATTGCAATCTTGGTTTTGAAAACTGTTAACGTGCAAACCAGCGTCTTGTTTGTGTAGCATACTTAAAATTAATATATTTAAAAATGCTTTATTCTGTTCTTAAATAAAAAAGAAATACCAGTACTATTTGAACTTTTACCTTCATTTAGACCATGAAAATGTTTTAGGCATAAAATAAAGTGGAGGGGGAACAAACCAGGAAACAGTACTGTTGCTGTTTTTATAATAGATATTTCCTCCAGCTACAGAATAAAGAGAAAGCATCATCTTACATTGTAGACTTTCTGAATGCTCCAGTGGTTTGAATTACGTATTTTTAATCTCTTTGCAAAGAGATTAAAGAAATCTGTTCTGATTTACTTAAAACTGGCTCAATAATTATTCACATAAGCAACAAAATACTCACAGAGTTTAACAAAGAAACAGCTACAGTATAGTGTCAGATCAGCAAAATATTGATAACTTATCTTTGACCAAAAGGAATATCATCATTAAGTGAAACTACTGAATAAGACACACACAAACACACAGAGGAAATTTGGATACGTGGTTGTTTTTTGTTTTGTTTTGTATTTCCTTCAGTAGAGACACTTTTATTTTAGAAAAGGAAATCTTATATATAAAAAGTTATAAATGCCTTCAACTCCCGGTAGTTAAGAAATAATTTAATAAAATCAGGTTCTATGTGTATTTTAGAAGCTTTTTATCTACTCTATATTCTTTAAATCCCTGTTCACTATATTTTATAGCTTTCTATTTTGTATTTCTAATATATTTATTTTTGATTTTTATATTTTTGTTATCTTAATCCCTGTTGTCACTCTATAGAGTTATATGCTTTCTGAGAGTTCAATCTTCCTTTTTTAGTTTGTTTTCTATTTTTTGTTGCCTATTTCTGACTTTTTCTTCATCTTTTCTACTTGGTTGTTTTTTTGGCTGGACCTCTTAGGTCTTCTCTCTTGAATCTTTACTTCCTCTGAGGGAAATGGCTAGAACTTTTACCTCATACCAGTTTTGAGGGAAGGAAAAAAGATCTACCGTATCTCTTCCCACAGTTTTTTTTAGCTGTTCCTTTCTTGGTTGCTCTTCTAATCAGGTCTGTCTGTCTTTTAGTTTGTCTCTTTATTTGACTTGCATGCTTTGGCTGTATTGGTGCAAACTTTTCTTCCCAAGGCCTATGATGGCAGAACTCCCAGGCAACCATCTTGTCTCTCCTCCTCTTGTGTTCAGCAGCTGCTGTTTGATTGACAACCGGGTTGTCTTGACAACTGGGGAGGGCCAAGAAGGTGGGAGGAATGAGGGCAGGCGCTTTTAGTCTGTTCAGGCAGACCGTCCTTCCCACATATATAATTCATGACATCCATGACTTCCTACATTGGAATCCACAAGATGCCCTGTTTAACAATCCAATTCTAATTTATTAGTTCATTTTACTAGATTTCTCAGGGCCACCCAACTCCAGCATGATTCTGGCTGGCATATAATAAATCCAGTACAGCTACTCCTTGTTTAGCTACACAATTGGGACAGCTACTTGGCCATTAAGTAAAGCAATCACTAAATGAAACTGACTGCTTATGACATTACTTCAGCTTTCCTTTGTTTACAAAGGTCATAAATGTGAAGATTAGTCACAAAATTGCTTTTCATCACATACAACAAATGGTCACTAAATGATGCATTCGAGCTGTACATACATTATATAAACAATACCAATGCCTGGATTAAAAAATATTCCCAATATTTAAGAAAAAAAAGGGCAATGGGCTCCATAGTGACCTTACCCTTATGGCTGGGACCAGAGCCAGGTCTTAAAAGAGACTTCCAGAAACCAAGGAGTCTGGGCATCCTGTGCATCCTGTTCCAGAGGGCAGGGGCTATGATAGTGCACTTCCTTGATCCCATATAATGGAAATACTTCACTGATGGAACATGGAGTATATCCACCCTGCCCATACACTGGATGGGCAAAAACAATTGGAGACAAGTGATACCTCAAATAAGCAGATCCTATACCATGAAAGATTTTAAACATTTGCTCATTCCAAACTACTTGCTATTAAACCAGACCAATAACAAGAATTATAAATAACAGATTTACATGTAAGTAAAGATCCAAGTTCTCTACCGTAGGGCAATCTGTAAGAGCAGCAAAAAAAAATATCCGGCACTTTACTTTGGTTGGGATCTGAAATATTGACTATTCAAAATGTGCTTCAAAAGTAATTTTGCAGTGTGTCACTTTTTCTCAGTGTTGCTGCCAAAATCCTTAGCATACACGTTCTGTATTTTCTACCTAAGTAACAATTATTTTTGTCCTCAAGAGCATAATTCCTGCCTCATTGTACTATCTTTAAAAATTTGTTACTTATTTTGTTCTAGGAGCCAAAGGCCACCATTGCTAATAATATAGCTAATACTGCTAAATTAAAATTACAAGTTCAACGGAATGGGGAGGGAGGACACAACAGAAATCCTTTCCCCCTTTGCCCTATTTAAAGCCTCAGTGTCCTATATATCCCTGATCAATAAAGTATATGATGCAGTGAAAACAAGCTGCATTAGATATTAGATAAGGGAGCCAGGCTATATCATAGGCATATTCTGCATAATATTCCTGTAAAGTAGGACTGGACCAAACTTATTTGGAAAAATATGACATAGAATAGATCATTAAGCTTTTTGCTTGAATGTAATCTTCTGTTAAACATGTTAAAATATGTATATATCACATGTGATGTTTGCACTCTAGGAACTCTCCATTCAAAAGGAAATATATAAAAGAACGATTAATCATCAGTATTTTAATGTACCTGGCAGGAAACTACTGAATTCAATGAGACCTAATTCTAGACTTCTACCATACCTTTATTTAGTCTGAACATCGTCTGAAATCATACTGTTAATACATGATTGCATAAATCTGGCTAGCTTCTACCTTAAAGTGTTCAGTCTTATGATACTGACTTCAAAGAATTCTTTCATTAATACATTGGAATAGATTTCCTTTTACTGAAAATCACTGGTATAGCATTATGTCAAAAGTGGGCAAAATAGTAAGTTTAGCATCAGTGCCTTTAATTATTTTCTTTGATGTCCTACAGAATCCCTGCTCACCTCATTTCTTTTAAAGATTCTTTTAGCAAAAAAGAAAAAAAGGGGAGGGAAACCCTG